GTCTTGTGCAGGATCTACAAATGGGCAAGACAGCTAGGGCTGGTCGTAGGTGTCACATGGCACAAGTTGTATTTTATAGAATATCTTCACATTCTAGAGTCCATACATCCACATTCTCTTATTGCTTCTGTTTGTCCCTCAAAACCTTCTACCTCGCTTCCTGCCAATTTGTGACTTAGACGACTTGGTCGTGTGTCCAATAAACAACTGGAGAGTCTTATCCAATCCGGAGTACTTGGTCTTGTGTCATCTAATCCTCATATTGAGTTATGTACTGGTTGTAAATTAACTAAATTTACTGCTCTACCATTTTCGACTAGTACATCTGTCTCCACTTTCTTATTTGATTTAGTTCATTCTGATATTTGGGGGCCAGCTCATCTACCTTCTTCATCTGGATATTTATATTATGTTAGTTTATCGATGATTTCTCTTATTATACATGAGTCTATTTACTTAAAAATCAATCTGAAGTACCTGCTACATATCAAGCCTTCACTGCTATGATCTTCACTTAATAGAAAGCTCGTATTAAAGTTTTCCGATCTGACTGTGCCAAAGAGTATTTATCCTCTACCATGCACTCTACCATAAACTTTCATGGGACTATCTTTCAACAGGTCATGTCCCTACACTCATGAGCAGAATGGTATTGTTAAATGCAAACATCGCCATATCCTCGATACCGCTCGATCCATACTCATTTCTTACTCTGTTCCTCATCATTTCTGGGCTGAGGCCATTATCACTGTTGTTCACATTATTAATATCACTACATCTAGCTCTCTTTCGGATGCTACTCCTAATAGTCGCGCATATACTCGTACTCCTCGCTATGATCTGACTCGCGTCTTTTGTTGTCGATGTTTTATTTTTCTGCCATCTCACGAACGTGAAAAATTGTCTCTCAGAGCTGTTCCCTATGTTTATTTAGGAATTAGTTTGAAACATCAAGGTTATCTTTGTTATGATCCTGCATCTCGTCGGGTTTATATATATAGACACGTTCAGTTTAAGGAGGATTCTCCATATTACTCTGGTTCTGATAACTTTAATTTCATCCACAATACTGATCGCTCTTCACCACCAGCTGCACCATCCACTTCCTTACCTCCGTTCACTTCCTTACCTCTGTTCTTCTTTCGAGATCTTCCTGACATCTCTCCATCGTCTTCTCCTTTTGTTGAATCTCCCTCACCCGAGCAATTTCATACATTATTTGCTCCCTTAGCTCCCTCTCCCTCTCCCTCGGACATGGTGCCCACTACAGAATATACTACTGACCTCTGCGCACGTGCGCCAGTATCTCCCCTGCCTAAGGTTCCTCTTGCTCTTCGTTGAGGCAAACGACCATATGTCATTCCTAAACGGTATGCTTCGTTTACTTCTTATTCACCTATCTTTCATAATTTTCTTACTGCCATTCATACTACCGTTGAGCCAAAGTCCTTTCAAGAGGCAGTTCAATTTTTAGAGTGGTGACATGCTATGGCTGAGGAATTTTAGGCCTTTTAACAAACACATACATGAGATGTTGTTCCTCGTCCTCCTGACATTTCTCTAGTTGGCAGTAAATGGATTTATAAGGTCAAGTATCGTCCTGATAGCACCATTGAACGTCGGAAGGCCCGTTTAGTGGCTCGAGGTTTCACTTAGCAAAGTGTATTGATTATGAGGAGACATTTACTCCTGTTGCTCAGATGTCCATCGTTCGTACTCTTCTTACAGTTATCGCTGCTCATTGTTGGCCCCTATATAAGATGAATGTTAAGAATATATTTCTCCATGGCTTTTTATCTGAGACAATGTAAATGCAACGGCTTTTTATCTGAGACATGCATGTCTCCTTCACCGTGCTATTTATAGTCTTAAGCATGCACCCCGCGCTTGATTTGAGTATTTTCATGATGTCATGCTTAAGACGGGCTTTATGGAAAGTCATCAAGATGCTTCTCTGTTTGTTCGCACTACATCGCGCGATAGAGTTTTATTACTCCTTTATGTAGATGATATGATCATTACAGATCATGATGTTTCTGGTATACAGTATGTAAAATTTAGATTGCAACAACAATTCCACATGAAGGATCTTAGATCTCTTCGCTATTTTTTGGTCTAGAAATCTCTCAGGGCCTACAGGGAGTACTGCTGTCTCAACAGAAGTATCTCTCAGATATTCTAATTCGTGTTGAGCTAACTGACGATGCAACTATTGATACTCCACTTTAACAGAATGTTAAACTTCGCTTTACTGATGGTGAGTCTCTATCTGATCCTACCCGATACTAACATCTTGTTAGGCAGTTGGTCTATTTGTGCATCTGTCAACCGAATATCTCTCATGTTGTTAGCATTGTCATTCAATTTATTAATGCCCCACGTTCTGTACATTATGATGCCTTATTACGGATTCTTCAGTATCTCTGGAGCACTAGCACTCGCTCTCTTTTGTATCATGCTACATCCGATTTAGAGCTTCGTGCATATTCTGATGCTGATTGGGCTGGTGATCTAACTATCAGCAAGTCTACCGCAGGTTATTGTATATTTCTTGGTGATTTTCTTATTTCCTGGCAGAGTAAGAAATAAGATGTTGTTGCCCTTTCCAGCACCGATGCATAGTATCATGCAATGTCCACAATAACTAAAGAGATTATTCATCTTCGTCGTATTCTCAGTGATTTTAGTATTTCTGTTCTGACTCCTACTCCTCTCTACTGTGATAATAAGAGTGCCATTCAGATTGCTAATAATTCAGTATTTCATGAGAGGACCAAACACATTGAGATCGACGCTCATTTTATTCGTCAAAAAGTTATCAAGGACAAGACAATTCAACTTCCTCACGTCTCATCAGCCGATGAGTTTGCAGATTTCTTTACGAATACCTTACATGTTCATCGATTCTAGTTTCTTGTACGTAAACTCACTTTGTTTGACTCATCATGAGTTTGAGGGGGGTTGTTGATATTATGTTTAGTCCCACATTGGTTATGAGAGGACACCTCACCCTCCTCTACTTGTATATATATACGTGTACACATTCAATACAAAAACTAAGAGAAATTTACCCCAAGACTCTCTCTCTCTCTCTCTCTCTCTCTCTCTCTCTCTCTCTCTCTCTCTCTCTCTCTCTCTCTCTCTCTCTCTCTCATCATCTCTATTTCACTGATTTTTGCCTTAGAGCATAACCTCATACAGAGTGTCTTCTATGAAGTAAGTGTGAAAATTTTGATGTACATAATCATATCCATTGGAAAAGATATTGCACATAAAAACATGGTTAACACTTACATGGAACTACTCAGGAAGTGACATTAAAAATTTGTAAAGCAGATATATGATACGTCAGAGAAACAATAGATGTAAGGAACATTTAGGAAGGAGTTCATACTGGTCTACATGTAGAAGAAATTTTTGATCTTGATTATAATGGAGATAGGATAGGAAAAGATCACTGCCTGGCATTTTTTAGACTTTTGCACGTTTTATTGTCAGCTAGACGAATAATATACAGTTTTCAGACATTTCATCTATCACATAAGCAGAGTACATTGTGCTGACAGAAGAAACAGAGAGGAGGACATCTCATTAAAATGGATTAGTTGATAATCTTGGCCTACATAAGCGCCAAGGTATAATATATTGTCATATTCATATTGTTACATGTTTGATAAAGAAAGCACGTTGATGTAAGGTATCACCTCATCAGAAAAGGAAATCCCAAGAAATATTACTACAACAGATGATTCAGGTTTATATGTTCACAAATTTAGTCCTTGCCCATATGTTCAGGCATCGCCAAAACATTCTCAGGAGTGCAGAAGGATATTACTCTAGTATGGTTTATAGGTAGCGAAAAGGTTTGGAGATATTTTTGTTTCAATCAATACTAGATGTCAGTTTTGGAGCATTCACGCAAAAAACATCTTAGAATTCTTGTTAGTTATTCTTTAATAGTTCAGAAGAGTTCTAAAGGTATATGGTTAGCGTCTGGCAATATATCATGATGGAGGAACTCTGTTTGAACTTGAGTTGTTTGAAAGGTGATTTGAGGAATCCTTTGGACATGAATTTCTCATAGAATTAGTATTTCTCTATCTTTAAGTGATTCTTGAAATATTTGTGTGATAAACATTTATAATAACTTTTAAAGAACTTCGAATTGTGTGAAATAACTTTTGAAGAACTTTGAATTGGGTGGAACCCATTCTGTTAGTAATTCTCCTGTATCTTATGTTTCCTGAAATAATAAAATGATTTACAGCAGACCGAAAATGTAGGACTTGTTCAATGTTATCTGAAACACTGAAATGATCTATTGCAGCCTGAAAAGGTAGGATTTGTTTTGGACTTCATTAAACTTTTGTATCTAATTAGATCGTCAACAACTTGTGCTTTGATCCCAATACTTGTTTATTTGTTTTTCCATAACAGACAATATGTGTTGTGTTGTGAATCAAATACTCAATTTGATATTTTTGGCAGAGGCTGCAGTCAATAGGAGTCTCTTATATTTTGTGGGAATGTGGAATAATTATATGAATTCAAATTTTTATTTTGACAATGATAAACAATTGATATTTCTACTTGGACTTTTATTGGGCTTTAGAACATGTGAACTTCTATTCGATCTAGAACTCTTTTTTCGTGGACAGCAAGAAGTTGGGGTCTCCAAGGCTATATATGTATTGTCTTTCAAGCCAATTATGATCATCATTCTACATAGCACCAATCAAGAAGAGAGGATTCTTTTGTGAAGGCTATTTGATATTTTTCTCTTTTATACTTTTAGTTGAGAGATAGTATTAGGCTTTTAGGGTGTGATTTAGGATTGAGTGATTGAGAGATCTCCATATTGTATTCCTCACAATTTAGCAAAGCAATTCTCCTCCTTCGCCTTTGGACGTAGGCTACAAGCCGAATCACGTATATCTTTGTGTTTGTATGTTCTCGATATTTTTCGTGATCTCTTGTGATTGATATTAGTTTATCCTTGGGATTTGTCATAACAATATGACACTAACTTTATTAATTTTTCTGAAGCAAATAAGCATGGCTTCAAGACACTATTACAAATTGATAAGGCTGATCGTTCAACATAAACTACAACCCCATCAATCCTTCTCAAATCCGTTCTCCTTATTCAAACTCACAGTTACCTCAAACATTAAACATAAGCTCTATATTTAAGCGTAGGCAGTTGGGTTGGCCAGGAGGTAAGCTTCAGCTGCCTTCATGTGGTTGGTTATCCCCTCCTTCGCCTTTGCACTCTCATCGGGGACGCCAGGGAGAATCTTGTAGGTTGCAGTCACCTTAACAATGCATCCACCGTTGCTCGAGGGCTCGAACTTGAAGTGAGTAGTGGCAGATTCGAACATCTTACCTAAACCTCCGCCTTCCACAAGGGTCTGCTTAGCCTCGAACTTGTCATGGTCTACGAAATCTAGGCGTTCCTTCACATAGCTGAAAGGTATTGCTATACACCCAAAAAGAAAAAAGAGAACTATTAGGAGTGCCTGGAGTCCATTCAACTCAATATGTGCGTTTGATTTAACAAAATTTAAGGATGAGATCAGTCCAAATTTGAAAGAGTATGTAGTTAAGTGAACTTATACTACGAGATAGACATATCATGAAAAGATTTATATTTCTAGTCACATAGGAACAGGATGAATTCCTTAGTCCTATCTCTTCGTAGCTAGCTCATCTTTGAGTTGTCAACTTATGTACAGTACTTTCTGATTATTAACATCCAAAAATATAACACATTGATCAAAAGGCATAATGCCGGGTTCAATACTGTAGAAGATGATATTATCTGAAAAAAATTCTAACCAGGATTGTTGATCTTGATCTCTCGGATGGCTCCTACAGCTCCATCTCCAGACACTACAGAACCACTGGAAATGAAATCCGGCACAATCTTAGGGCCGAGGTTGTGCCAGTCGAGCATTGCCGCCTTGAACAGCCGTCCTGCGGCGACATTGACAGCAACTTCGTGGCTCCAGCTCCCTGAACTCATGTTTCCTCTATGTTGTTATGAATTACCGATGAATGTTTGTTCTCTTTGCGAGTGATGGATGTGCAAAGAGAAGCAAAGGGTTGGCCTTTTATAGAGTGAGTTTGGAAATGGTAGGTGTCATGGTTGCACAAAATTCAAAGATTTAACAGAGGGTTTGCTAGGCTAAGACAAGTACTAGCAAACCCACCAATAAAAAGAAATCAAAGAAAACGGGCATCATTGAAAAGGGTATAAAGGGAAGGTTCGATTTCATTCATTGCAAGTGTCTGAAGACCTGAAGCTTGGCTGGCTGGGTCAGAAATGTTGAAGCGGAAAAAAAGAAGGGAAAATGGTTCATACCGAAAAACATGAATGTTTGAACAGTGATGAGGAGAAAAGATGATGATTTTTGGACGTACCAGGCTTCTAGAATATAGTCTTCTTATTCTTATTTTCTTCCTGCAACAGTAACTACTTTTTCTCAATGAATGTGTAGACCGAGCTTAGTCAAATGTTAGCTAACTTCTATTGGCCCACATATGTTGGATTTGATTGAAAATGTTATCTATTCAATTGACTGAACTAAAAATCTGTATGGTCAATTTGGATTTGAATCCTCACAACTGCTGAAAACTAGTAGAGTTATCCCTACTTCTGTTGAGATACCCTACTTTTTTTAAATAACATTTGGTCATTTGTGGTATATTGTGATTTCTCTTATTGAGCGTATATAAACTAGGAATTAGAGCAGGCGAAAATGTGCTACTTTTGGAGTGTATTTCAATTGTCCATAACCATTCATTAAATAATAACCACTTCACTATTTTTTTTACTGGAGACAATCAAAATTCTAGATTTGATCTATTTAGAGCTTGGTTCAAAAATAAAGAGATAGAGCATTTTCACAAGAATCTGACATTAGATCTAGTCAAAATGTCGAAGATAAAGAAGTTTCACCTAGGGGTGTCCAAAAAGCCTCAGCCCGGAAACCCGGGCTAAGTCCGGGCTCCTG